GAAAGAGTGCTAAACTCACAAGCACTCAGCAGGGGATCTCATTTGTTTCAGTTTAAATTCACAAAGCCAATGTGCAGATTTCCATTCGTCACTTTACCCTAATAATTTGTTCAAAGATCATGCCCATTTTGGGGAAAAAACTCAAAAAATAACCCCCAACTGTCTCTCTTGTTTTTCTGTTTTCAATAGCTTGATCTTCGGCGCAATCACATGCTTCACTGGGTTCCTGGGTGTAATCACAGGGGCAGGGGCAACCAAATGGTGCCGGTTAAAAACCCAGCGAGCTGATCCTCTTGTCTGTGCTGTTGGCATGCTAGGATCAGCCATCTTCATCTGTCTGATCTTCGTGGCTGCCAAGAGCAGCATTGTGGGAGCCTATGTAAGTATAATCCTTTCCATATGCCAGTCTCACTCACTCTCTCTACAGAACTCCTTAGAAGACTCTGTGCTTTGTCCCTTGCAGGTCTTGTTTTTTCCCTTCTGAATGTCCTTCGTTTTGCCCCTTGGAATTTTGGTGCTATCTAGATGTGCCTGGAAGAAAAATGGTATCTCAACTGCTTATCCCTGCTTGCTACCTGTCATCAGAGTCAGAGCTGGGGTTTTAGTGCATGCATGGAAACCTACAGTTCCCTGCCTTTGGATTGTCCTATCTATCCCTCTATCCACCCCTCTATTGCTCTTGCCTAATGTTTTGGTACAGGAAAATTGTCTGCTTCACTTACGATGAGGGTATAGTAGCTGGTCTGGTACAAAATTATAATTACAGTATAATTTGTCTGTGGGCATGCTTTTGGCTACCTATAAGTACCATTAATTTCCATAACTAGCTTGCTGCAGACCAATATTAATTACCATGTAATTTCAGTTTGTTGCTATCTGTATTACCATGGCACCTGAAAGTCCTAGTCCATAGCCCAGGAACTCACAATACTTGGAGCTTCACAGATGCAGATCGAGTGTTTTTAATCAAAGTATGTAAAAAGACATCTGATAGATCCAGACAAATGGACTGAAGGGAAAAGGAAAACCTCAAGTATAATGATCTAGCCTCAGGCTAGAAGCTTGCTTTCAGTAGAGTAGAAACTCAGTACACTGAACAGGTTCCAGGTTCCCCTTAAATGTAATAGAGAGAAGCCTGGGACCTGGGAGGAGTTTTTGAAGGAAAGCATGAGATGGTTGGAGTAGTAGGATAATTTCTGAAAGCCCACCCTTGTTTTCTACACAAGCTGGACACACCACCCAGCAAGGAGAATTCATTCACATGTAACCAACCCATCTACTGTGGATCCTTGTTTCTCTGTATTTCTAGCGCTAGCCTAGACATGGTTATTTTCTGAGTATTTCAATAGCTGTCATGGGGCAACACAAGAAGAAAGACTGAGAGTTTAAAAACATTAAGACAGAACCAATACAAATGCCTACTCTGGCTACCTTGAAAATGTCAGAAGGAGATTCTGTCCTCTGGTTTGTGGCATGGTGCAAGACTAACCTTTGATTCAGCAGAAAAATTATCACCTCAGACAATCTGCAAGAGTGTCTTACTGGCTGGGGAAGCATTAGCCCTCCTTTCATTGTCAGTCATCTCTAAGGGCAGAGACCTGTCACATCCCTCCACCTCTGTGCAGACAAACCTGTGATTTTCTCCTTTCTCAGACCTCATGATGGACATGTTCATTTGTGCTGTTTAGTCTCTTTATGCAGAATATCCACCCTTTCTAAGCTGGAAATACTGTTCTCAAAAATTTTGCAACACAAGTGATTGTCTTATTTTCATCTTTTTTTTCTTATTTTAATAGCCATGTGACTATTCTGCATTGTTCAAATATATAAATATAGATCGTATTATTAACCAATCTTAGAAACAATTTATTTTGTTATCCATGAGCAGTAAATCTAATAAAGAGTTAGTGATTTGCAAAGGAAGTTACAGCTGCATATAGAGGAGGTATGAGGAACATAAGACTGTTCGCTGATGCTGTTAGGCTGAAACATTATTTGTTGCAGGTAACATGGCCTCTTTGTAGCTCTAAATGTGCTCTCTCTGCTGCTGGAAGTCTGCTGCACAGAAAGGAGATTAAGAGTCTCATTAGTGTGCCAACTGGGAAATCAGAGCTCTGAACTCTATTTATGGATTCTACACATGACAGTAGACAAGACATCTAACTTTGGTTTGCCTCTGCAAAACTGAGGATTCTTGAATTACAAAGGGTCAGAGTAGCTTAGATCATTAATGTTTCTAAATAACCTGGAGTTAGATGATCTGTGACCGAGCCATCCACTATAATATAAGCAAAAAACAATGACACAACACCTGTTGCTGTTTAGTGTTACAGGTACTAACCCAGCTGTGAAAACAGGTCTATGTTGGAGTTACTGATGTCTCATAACAGCAGGTATTATCCTGGTGGTGCTATGTATCAGTTGAACTGACTTTTCAAGGCACGTTTCAAATGCAAGCTCTTGTTTTTCCATGTCATTCAATGCTATTCCAAACTTATAGACTTCCAGAATGTTTAAGTCCCTTGTATTTTACTAGGAGACTTGCAAGGTTGCATGGTGTAGCAGTTTTTCATTACTCTATTTTAATTCTTATTGGTCCAAAATGAAGGAGACTGTTCTCTGATTCTGGAACATCTAGATATGGAGGATAGTATATAATGGGCTGGATTACCTTCCTTAGCTCAAAATCCATGATCATACCTTGTTCTGGAAAGAATACAGTAAAACTTAAGGGGTTTCTCATCTCAGTCTACTTGACAGCTGTGTCCTGGCTTTCATCCTGAAACAGAATCCTTGAGTTCTGTATGACTGTGAAAGGCAAGAGCAATGTTCAGGTCTGTTCCACATGGTGGGATTTGCAGGCCTTCTGTCTTGTGACTGTCCTTAGACTTCTGTCATTAATCACACCATGCTAAAATTGAAGGTTTATTGGGTTTGGACCCCTCACTGGCTCAAAGCCTTAAAATTATCACTTCCAAGCATTTAGATGGGTCCCCGTGAAATGGTGTGTTCTCACACTGAGCTGTGGTGGCCACCAGGTCACCATCTCCCTCCCTGCTTAACAGTTGAGAGTTTTTGTCAACTGCCTGCTCTCTTCCTCCCTTGAACACGAGTGCTTCTCCCCAACTCAGTCCTGTCTTGCAGGTGGGTTTGGTCCCTGAGGGCAGCTGTTATTCCAGTTCTGCAGCAGCCACTCCTACCTGGAGCAGGTAGACGGACTTCTATTTTCTATCCAGTCTTTTTATACTCATCCAGTACATTACTGGCAGTGATAGAAATGGCTGGAAACATGGAATAAAACAGCATTCTGTATCACTGATCTGCCCAGACACTTGTATTTCTCTCTTTTGCTGTCGTGCTTGGCTGTATAGTGCAGTCAGTTCTTACTCTGTTTCCCATGCAGCATGTGGATTAGTGTGTTGTAGTTCAGCTCTTTACAACAGCAATTTGCATATCTTTAGGTCCCAGTCTTTCTGAAGTGTGTACTCTTTGAAATGTTGGTTTTCAAACCTGTCTCTTGAAACCCGTTAGCTGTATGGCATCACTGTATCACACTACTCAGATATTTCAATAGCAGATTTTACACTAGCTTAAATCTCCAAATGACTGGAGAGAGGTGCTTTGCTTTCCCTTCCTTTTGACACTGTTCCAAGTTCCTGTTGTACCTCAATTTCAGCATCTGTTTCAATTCCTCAAAGACACTTTATGATCTTGCAGTAACAGCAAATCCCAGGGTAAAGCCTTGCCATAGAACTTTCACTGCATCTCAGTCTCAACTCCGGGGACTTTCTGTTGACATGGTGTTGGCGACTTACGTTCCTCTGAGGCATTGATATTGTCCAGCACTGAGGTGGAGTTAGACTTGCCTCAAATTCAAGAGCACATGTGGGTGTCTTACGTACCATTTCAGAGAGAAATACAAATATTGAAGATGTAGACAGATAAGCACTTTGCAAATAGCCATGGAAGTTTATAACCTGCTTAGATCTTGCTATGAAGGCTGCTGGTGTGACCCCTCTGAAACCTACTTTATCATTTGGAGGAATTAGAATTTGCTAACTGATCACATAGTCAGGAAGACTTGAGGGGGTAATAACTTCTGTCAGCTCATCACAGATGAGCGACTGGACACATAATGGAGACGGTGAGATATTATACAACACAGCTGGATTTGGAAGAGGAGGTATCTGGAGAGCTGAAATCTCAGTGTAAAATAAGGCTTCTAAAAGTGCGTGAGGAGTCAAAGCTGTGACCATTTCAGGAGCTACGGATCTGTTCTGGAGGCTGCCCTATTTGCAGTAAGGATCCCTAGGGTCTCTCATCAGCAGAAGTGCCACGTATCCTCAAATGCCCTTTGCAGCAGATGAACTCATTTGTATCAATTCCCATTAGCAGCTGAAGGACAGACTTTTAAAAATGTATCTTTTGTCCTACTTTTTGATCTTCGTTTTGCTCCTCTTTTCCTTTTACCAGTACCCACACATTAATCGTGTGCCATGGAAGCGTGTCGGGTGAAACACACATTCCACAATTCTAAACTGGTGTGCTCTGAAGCAGGTAGCATTCCAATGATTTATTTACAGGACTTGTGCTGAATCCCTGCAGAAGGGAGCAAGTTCTACTCACTGTGTGTAACAATTCATGTGTCTTACGTGTATGTAATTCATATAACCTTAAGGCATGCAGTTGCCTGTTTGCAGCACTGTAGGAACAGGCAGGGCATGTCGCTGCATTCAGAAGTGTGATTACATCTTTCCTAAGCTCAATTTAATCTATCCAGCCACAGAACCCCAGCAATAGGAGCTGCAAAGTTGTAGTAGGATGGATTTCAGAGCAGGTCCTGAGAGCCCACCCGAGGCTCTGATATGCCCTTGCTACGTGACACGTGGTTTCAACTCCTGTCAGCATCTTGATGCATTGGAACTGTGTTTCTTAGCTTGGCAGTTGTCATTTCCAGTGAGAGCCAAGTTCAAGGCAGACCAGTGGGCAGTGGGAAAATGGGAAGAGGAGATTTCCTATCTGACCAGCTGGGCTGTGATGACTGGCTCATACACCATCATGGAGGAAGCAGATCCAGTCACAAAAAGAGGGGATAGAGAGGGAGAATGTATGGGAAACAAAGACAGTTTTAGAAACAAATAGAGGAAGCTTTTTGTAGGTCAATACATAAGACCTACTAAATAGACCAAACTATTCCTGGCAGTGACATGATGGTCTGAGGGGTTTAAGCAATCTCAGCTGGTGTGTGGGAAAGACAGTTTTGGTGGTCACGCAGTGTCATAGCTGCCATTCTTGCAGTTCCTCCTCCATCTCCACAGACTCAAGAGTTACATTTCACTGTAAGACACTGATGTTGCAAAACCCATATTTAGGTCCTGTCTTGATTGTGCATAGATATTATTAATGAACTACTTGAGTCGTTATAGTGCCTAGACCTATGTCCCCCTCGAAAAGGACAGCAACGTACTATCAGGAGGGAAGGGATCTCATACTTATTGGGTGGTGAACCTCATGTGGTTTGCTACGGAGCCAAACACATAACTTGATTTGTCGTGATGTAAATGACTGTGTTTGAGGGGGGGGGTTGTGGCCTTCTAACTGTTTTTTTGGAACAGAATGATGGAAGTATGGAAGCCTGGGGCTGTCTCCTCTCGTTGGCTTCTCATGTTCTTCTGTAAGCAAATGTGTCAGGTTTTTGTTTAGCTGCTCTATAGATCATAACAGTTTACACTAAGGAAGTTGCAGGCCAACCCTCTAGAGCTCTGACAAAGTCTATGGTTTTCTAATATTCAGGATAAACCACAACAGTAACAAATATATTGTGTAGGTTTGAGACAAATAAGCAACAAAGGAAAGTTTGTGACAGGTTACTTTTCCTTTGAATGTCAAGTGAATAAATCTTCTCCTTTTTGTGTGTTTTGTTACAACAGATTTGCATTTTTATCGGAGAAACTCTTCTGTTTTCAAACTGGGCTATCACAGCAGACATACTAATGGTGAGTGTACGCTGGAACAGCATCTTTGTCTTCTGGGGGCCAGAGCAGTTTGTTGGCTTGCAAGAACAACCTGAACTTCACCATTTCTTCCAAATGCCTTCTTCATCCTATCCTATTTTTATTTTCTTTTTACTTGCTGAAAAGGAAAGTGACAGTGAAAGAGAGAAAGAAAAAAAAGCTGTTTCTTATCCTTAGTTCTGAGCACCAGGGAGAGAAGATGTCCAGAAAGGTCAGCGTTACTGAATTAGAATAGCTTCCCCAGATTCTAAGTATTTGTGCAAATCCCCACATGCAAAGAATGGGCCAGCATTTCCTAATGGTCAGCATATTAGTGGATTTTGTTATCAATAACTCAGCTTTGTTCTGCAATAGGAAATCCTTCCCTCCCTCCCTCCTCTGACCACAAAGGCAGGCATCTACCTCTCTCTTTGGCTTAACTCCAGCCAACCTACCATTCAACACATACACAATAGAAAACCACCTCTGGGAGAGGAGAGAGGAAAAGAAAGTATAAAGAATTTTTTGACTGTGTCCACTTTGTCCAAGAGGAAGCTGTCAGGGACTTTTTACCCCATGTCCTTCATTTTCCATTCTTTTTCCACCACAGAGCTTTTTAAGTCTTTCAAATCAGCAAGCTGACCTCAGCAGCTAGATTTTCATATGAAATAGTCTGGAGCCTATCAAACAGACTCTGTTGAAATCCCATTGTGAAGGAGGTGTTGCTTATTGTATGAAAAAGAAAGAAACTAAGGCACAGAACCATTACAGGACTTGCCCAAGGTCTTTTGACAGCTTGTTGACAGAACTAAAAATATAATCAGTCTGGCATCAACAGAAAACTCCCTTGACTTGTATTTGTTGCTTATGCAAACATCAGTGAGAAAACAATCTGCCTCAGTATTCCTGGATGCAAAGATAATGGTGTTGATTTATTGATTCAGCAGAGAACTTCAAGCTTCTGCTTAAGTTCTGTTGATGATTCATGTTCAAGTTTGTGCTTATGTTTTAAGGTAGCTCTGTAGTTGCCATAACTGCATTGCCTGATGAACTTTCAATCTCTAGCTCATTTGTGCAGAGAACACTTTGGGAGACCGGGTTGTTAATTCTGCTTCTCTCAGATGTGAATAAAGCACAGAGAAACAAAGTTCATCAGTGTACTAGAGTTGCATTAAATAGCTTTTAATTACCAGGGTTTGTTCCTCCTACCAGTTCAGCTGTAGTGTGACAGAGCTCTGAATGGGTGGTTACTCTGTACTTAGGTGGGTTTTGCAGCTTGTGCTGAGTTCAAGGCTGCTCATGAGGTGGTATCTCAACACATAGATGTGCAGTCTACAGACAGCTGTGTTGAGGAAGAACTTGTGGTACAATAGTTGTAGTTGCTTGTTCCTGTCTCCTACCAGAGCTTCTTGTCACATCCTACCTTTGACTGTGATGTTCCCAGGAGCTCTACCAACTCTCCCTGGTCAGGATTAGCTGATGGGCTTAAATAGCAGGTCTTTTATATCCTCACAAGCATTGGCTGAAGTAGGTAAGGGCTTGGCCGTGGAGCACATCTGCAATCCTCCAGCAGTGGCTCTCAAAGTCATCTCTGCTGCCAACATAGCACAGCTGGAGGGAGGGTACCCACTGGATGTGCTCAAGGTCCTCCAGAAGATCTGTGCCAGAGAGAGAGCTGAAACTTGACCTACATGGTCTCAAGCTAAGCCCAAAAGGCATTTTTCAACCAACCGTCCTAAGGATGCCATCACTGTCCCATTTTAATTACTGAGATTTTCTGTGTTGATTTCAATGCGACTTCAGTACCCTGTAGCTTTTTATAGGGTTTGCCATCTGTCTCACCAGCATCCTATAGAGAGTTGCATTTTGTAGGGATGCAGTTATTTATGTTGCTTTAGTTCAAAAGAATTGGAAGATTGGAAATAACTGGAAATAATCTCTTAGTTCCAATTTCCAAAACATGGGAAAGAAACTAAAACCATGTTAAAAATTTGATTTTGGCAACTGATGCTAACACTTAAGCTTGTCTGTTAGGAAAATGAACTGAGTGTCATATATAATGCCCAGCTTAATGCATTATCAGCATGAGCAGACCTGTAAAAGTGCTGTATAAATACTTGCAAACATCCACTTAGGTCAGTGCAAGCCTGTAAACAGATGGTCTGAAGTGCGTTCCTGTTACACAAGGGGTTTGAGAGGATGTTTAGTCAGGCAATAGGTGAGAGGCAGGGCTATAACCATGTTTGACAGGCAGCTTTGTAAGAAGTCCTAGCCAGAGAAAGGTGTGGATATGCTTTAGCAAGATGTACTTTTAATGTTTGGCAAATTAATTTATACTGATTACTATTTATTTGGTGTAATCAGAAGGGTGTCTGGTTTTGCCTGAGGCTGGTAAGGAGTTTAAAAGCATTATTAGCCTAAGCTTAACAACACTTTTATCCTATACATAAATATTATGCTGTTTTCATGGATAAAAAGCTCTCAGTGCTGGCTGAACACTGCTCCTACTTACTGCGTTATGCCAGAAGTGAGGCTTTTTGGATACTGCATCTCAAATGATTTATCAGAGCTCTCCCAAGATTTACAGATCTCATGACTGCTTAAGAACCCTAATGGGCAAGTTGGTAAGCATCTTGAGAGGTTTTGCAACTTGAATTTCCTTGGCAAAGCAAGGATGATCGCTTATTATCTTCACAATTAATTGTTGGCTCTTCCTACCTTTGTGCTTCCATTGCATCTACTGTTCTTGCCAGTGCAATGGTCAGTGTGCAGCTCCTCAAACTGTCTGCAGGAGAAGGTGCTGACTGTTTGATAAGCTGTCAGCACTGCAGAATGTTCTGCACTGCCTCAGATCTTAAAAGGTTGGTATTTGTTCCAAATGCAAATTTGTACAAAACAGGCCTTATTCCCCTGAGTACAACTCTCCATATCTCCTCCCAGGCACATGCTCAGATGGTGCTTAGGGAAGGGGGGGATGTTTCTTATGGAGCATGCTAATTATGAAACAGATTTTATCTGCCATCTTTGCAAATTGGCCTTAAAATTACCAGAACCCCAAAGTAGCATTAAAACTGCCTTGTAACAGTAGTAATTAATGAGCTTCAGTGCAGCCAGCAACATTCTGAGGCATGCTGAGGGCTTGGGACTTTGTGGAATCTGGTCCTAATAGTGGGGTTTTTTGCCTCCATAGCACATCCCAAAACTAAAGATGATGAGCAGAGCCTTGGTGGCATTTCTTTGTAAGAGTCAGATCACAATAATCTTGGGTCTTTGCCATCCTCCAGCTTATGCAAGTCCTGACAGTCATGGAAAAATGACTGCATATTTGTGTATGGACTAAGTATCTTCTTTAAATGGTCAGGAGCTGCCATGGAGGAGATGCTTTAATGCTGTAGAGTCAAAGTCTTCTTTTGGGCTGAGTTTTCCCTGATTACTTTCCCTATAAATAAACAACGGTTATTCATGTAGTGTCAAATACTGCCCTATTTTTACAGCCAAAGATAAATGGCATTTCCACAGGTTCTCATTGTTGCTTCTCTCCATGTGCCTCCACACACCAGTAATCTGAGTGCTGTGGTGTGGATTTTAAGGCAGGGGGAGGGATGCCTTTGAGTGAGCGTTCACAGACTTCTTCAAACACCCGGGAAGAATAGGCCAAGTTGTGTCTCTCAGTTCTTATGTGGGCCAAGGGTTTGCAGGTAGATGTGTGCTGTTCCACGCTGGGCTGTGGTTTGGAGACCAGGTCAGCCTCCTTTGACTTCCTTTAAAAGTTTCTTTGTAGACAGCATCTGCCTAGCTTGAGTGAAGGGTCTCTCTCAGGCTGGTTTCTCTGGACCACAGCCTTTGCCTTTTCTGAACAGTGGCTACAACAAGGACACCCAGACTGTTTCCAGGCTCTGATAGTGGCTTGACTGGGATTAGCATGTGTTTTCTTTGCCTTTGGTGCTGAAAGAGGCCAGTTTGCATTGTCCTGAAGGTTACTGTCTGATGCAGAAAGGGTAGAAAAGTGTTTTATAGAGTAGAGTTTAGAAATAAACATCTTAAAATGGTTTGTGTTGGAAAGGACCTTAAAGGTCATCCAGTTCCAACTCCCTGCCGTGGGCAGGGACACCTTCCACTAGAGCAGGTTGCTCCAAGCCCCTGTGTCCAACCTGGCCTCAAACACTGACAGGGATGGGGCAGCCACAGCTTCTCTGGGCACCCTGTGCCAGCGCCTCAACACCCTCACAGGGAAGAGCTTCTGAGTAAGAGCTCATCTCAGTCTTCCCTTTGGCAGGTCAAAGCCATTCCCATTGTCTTGTCCCTATAGGTCCTGTAAAAAACAGAACTTACCTCTTCGGCATGTGGCCTTCGATGGAAGAGTGATCTCTCCTTGGCTTTCCTGGTTAACTTATTTCAGACCAACTCATTCTGCTCGTTTCATTACAGGAAGGGGATGTCAGCAGTAAACCATGGCATTTCCAAACCTCTGTTTACAGAACAGAGGTTTGCTAAAGCTGCTTGGTCAGCCTCCCTGCTCATCCTCTGTGCTGTCTGCCCCTGAACTTGGAGTCAGAGATGAGCCAGGACAATCCCATAGACTTCCTCCTCAGCTGCTGCTGCTCTTCCACCTCCAGATTCTGTGGGATATTCAAACCAGGCCATGTATGATTTGAATTTAGGTCTATTTTAGTATCAAAATGCCCACTGAGAGCTGTAATTTACTGCTCTCTTCCTAGAACAGTAGATAGTGTTTGCTACCAACTACTTCCTCTCCATCAGAATAAAACGCTTTTTAAGCAGGGATAGGGTGGGTATTTTTTTGTGTTTTGGAGATGCTGTTTTCAGCCTTTTTATAGTTTCCAGTATCTTTTTAGAAGGGGAGGAAATATCTCATGTTCATTTGCTTGCTTGTTTTTGGGTTAGGGAGGTGTTTGTAACTTGAATTCCAGACTAAGTTGACTAAGTTTTGGCACTTTATAGTGCCAAACCAATCAGTGCTTTCGACCATCAATAACTTCTTTAACTAGGCACACTGAAATCTTGCTGCAGATTGTATTCATACTTGCAAACCTGTGTGTCTGCTTAATACAGATAGACGTGCAGAATTATGGCTAATATATGTGTGTGTATTCATGTGTATAAATATGCACACACATATATGATGCCGGTGTCATTCAGATTTCTTTCTCCAACTGGTACCAATTCACTAGCACTCCCTGCAAATTGTAAGTTTTTAATAAATTTACCTTTTCCTTTATTATTTTGCTAAGAAAATTGATAGAATGTAGAACCAAGCTTTCTTCTCCAGATTTGTTAACATAAACTGTATAGAAATTTAACTATTTTAAGATTAAAATCCTGTTTCACAGATATTCACAACTCTGAACTCTTGAATTAGGTAGAATTTCCCTTTATCCTCTCAGATGCCCTTCTCAAACAGCTCTTGCAATATACTTCTCCACTGCATCTGTGTGAGCTGGGGCCGGATGGGAAGAACAACAGTAACTCATTCTTGATTTTACTTTACTTTCATTTTCTTCTGTCTAATCTATCCAGGTTGCACCCATTACCCTGCATCTTTGGGGAATGGTAATGAATTGTGTGGCTCTTCTGCTGTTTCACAGTGTGACCTTCAGTACTTTTCTGTGTCTCTAATGAAGTCTAGACCTTATTTTCCCCTCGGGATTTCTGTAAGCCTTCAAATCTCTTTTGAGCGCCTGGATGCCAAAGGAGGACAGTGTCTAACATCCGCAGCCAGGTGACTCCTCTGGTTCTGATCATCTTTTCCTCGCCTGTTGCACAACAGGAGTTTAACAGGGTACCCATTTAATATGTGGCATCAAAGTGCATTAGCAGTGTGTGTTTGCAGCTTTGTCAAACCAGTAATGAAAGAACTGGCAGGTCATTCTGCAAGCACATGGTAAAACCCTAAGGAAAAGCATTTAATCTAATTTTACCCATCATTCGTAATTGCCTCTGCTTGGAGGCATGATCATTCTAAACAGGCATCAGTTCTCTTCTAGTCTGGATTTTCTCAACACTCTT